GACACTTGCGGTCTACAGCGGATCGGATTGACACGTCCATTTTGCCTAGCAGGTACAGCACGGTCAGATTTCCACATCCGTTTAAGTTTATAATACTTATAAGGCTTTCAGGTGTGGAAATCTGACTGTTGCACGTAGGATTCTAAGGGGAAAGGGTTTGTCCCGTTTTAGAAGTCAAGAAGCGCAACTTTCGGCACCCCAGTGTATTGATTCATTTTGCATTCTAGAACACAGACTTCCAGTGACTTCCAATTCATCCGGATTCTTGAATCAAGACAATATGTCAGATATGCTGACTGATATGCATTAAAAATGATCGGTGTGCGTTTTTTAAGTTCTGAATCCCATAGTTCTTGATTCTTGTCCATGGGAGGGACGTCCTGTCTTTGCACATGGATGTTGTTGCAAGTTGAGCTTTGCTGCATTAGGATCCTTGATTAACTCGCATGTTCGACTCCCTTCTCCGTCATGCTGTAGAAACTTAGCTGTGTCAGCGTTTGGTTGCACGGGCAACCGATCTTCACATGTCCTCAGCAAGTGTGCCCATTCGTTTGCGTGTCTATTTGTTCGGATTCCGCGAACAATCTTTCATGCATCATTCTACACCGTAGCTGTTCCGTCCCACCTGTTCATTATGTGTTCTGCTTTGTCTTGCTCCCTTTGCCATGTTGGGGAACCAATTCCAACGTCCAGACGTACTATAGTGGTTCCCCTCCGGTGGTTCCTGTGGCCTTGCAGAAGTCACCAGTGCAGATCAAATTCAGAGATGTGACATCAGAGATCAATCTGCCTTTTTCAAAGATAACTTCTTGGTCTTAGAGCATTGATGCAAATCTCAGATCTCCCTTCCCTAGGACCACACTTTGGTTCAACTAGTCTTCCTTGGAGGATCTTGGAGGTATGCCGTCCAAAAAGGGGTGGGTCCCAGATTGCTTCACTGGCACAGCATGTCCTCAGGAAAACACGCCTGTTCAGTACTGCGCGAATTCCGCAAAATTGTGCTACTTCTTTAGTCGCACGCAATTGCACATGAACTGTTTGGTGTCCAATTTGTGAGGAACGAGCAGAAGATGTGCATTCGTTAGTTTAATTTTGGCATGCTCGAGCTACTGGAAGGCGAGAGTTCATGGAGTCAGCAGCGATCCCAAGCCTGGCTACAAGGGCTCCAACACTGCAGCAGAACACAATTGTGTGCACACTGGTCAAGGCCGTGACAAAACATCAGCTACCTGAGTGGTCTGTTCTCACCTCTTTTCCAGCCTGGAGCCTATCTCGTTCAGAGTTGCATGTTGGAAGCCAAACCATCGTGGCAGAAGATGTTGAGTAGACTAGTAGAGAAAGGGACTCATGCGCAAACTCGTTTGCGCCCAAATGGGCTGGCGGTTCAGGTCCTACCTCCAGACCTGAGATTAGGCGTTGGAGAAGACCCCGAGGAACGACCAGATGATCTCAATACCATGTACCAGGCTGGCAATGATCGGCAGACATGTAGAAGGCCATCCTTGAGACAAGTTTCACCAATTTGCGGAACGCATGTCTAGCTTCATGCTCGACTTGGGGTAGTGCAAAGCGCGAAGGATGTGCTTGTGGCTGGGCGCGATTTGGAGGTTGCTATCGCAGAGAGTTTGCAGCTGAGTTTGACAAAGCCAGTTGGTGCTGGCTCCGTTCTGTTTAAGCAAGGGCACAGTGCTGGACTTTTGCGATATCGGAAGCTCTTGCTGCAAGCTGTCCCTTGGAAGCAACATTTGCCATTCTCTTTGGTCGGTTGGTAGCAGAATTGTTTCTCACTCCATGCTTAGTTTATTCAAGTTTGCTTATATATGTTTATTCTATATAGTTCTGTTGTGTTCACAAGTGCATTGGAAGACCTTCTATAGTTTAGGCAGTGGATTCACTCATAGACAATGGCAGGGAGCCCAGCTGAAAACAACTAGCCAGTACCAGTCACTACTGATGCACTCCAGTTTGTCTGCGCAAGCAAATTTCACACTGCTTGCACATTTTCCACCCACTGTCAGATCTCCAGCTTTCATCACTGTTCTTTCCTGGCTTTTCAGACCTGTTTGTTTCCTCATCTTGCAATCGGTCAAGCAAGTCTGTGGCATCTAGATCTAATTACTTTTCTTCGAATGATTCCTACCCGAAAAGGTGTTTGGAAAAAGGCACGGCACATATATCCCCGTTTGGCTGGCAAGTATCTTTTCCTGTAGCTGCACTATCCTAATTATTAAAGAATCCGATTCCCATGTTTAAAAAAAATAATGATTTCAAGTTGGAGTCGATACAGCTCAGGGGGAAAAAAAAAGGAAGAACAGAATTCCATACAAACCTCAAATTCAGGATTCTATAAGACCACAATTTGAGGCGTTTCTAGGGAACCTCTAATCTACCAAAGAATGTGGAACACTGAATAATAGTGTTTTAAACACAAAGTAGCAGGAAAATATACACAACAAGCAAGGGACATGGTCACATACTGATTCTGTGTACCTTACCCTCGGAATGCACATCCATCCAATCCCTCCAGCATTATTGTTAACAAACTGTTCACAGAGACAAATTCAGCCTTCATGATCTCCACGTCTTCATCCTCGTCCAACGCATCCTGCAAGCAAAGGCAACAGAAAAAATAAAACATTCAGAAGATGAATGTCATCCCCAAGTCATTCACACCATTCACTGTTTTTGTATTCCTATTGTCTGGAGTTGTGAGAGGAATGTCAACACATGAACAATAAAACAACACGAGTTCCACTGACACCCTCTTTGCACCCCAATCGGCCCAGCTGAAGTGCCTGGCGACCGAAAGGAGGCTCAGGCTTCTCAGCGTTCTCCTTCGGCACCTCCACACAACGTCTTTCCCATGCTCTGAACAAGACAAGCATGTGACAGTAAAATATAACACACATGAACTTCCACTTCCACTGACACACTGGTGCGCAAGCCCGCCTCCTGACATTCCCTTTGGACAGGCTTTTGCTGCTCCGCGATCTTGGGCACCATCCTAGGAGAAAACACAGTCTTCCCAGTGGACAGGATTTTAAACATGTGGAATTTCCACGAAGGGCAGAAATCTGTAAGATCTATAAGTTGAAGTCGCCACTGCTCCAGGTTCTCCTGCTCTGCAGCACCCTGCTAAAAGGTGAAAGACGGGATGCAGAGCATGGACAGAAGTATAGATTAATGTTCATTGGTTTCATATCTTGTTGGGGACCAAGACCAGACTGGCAGAATGCTCGAACCGGAGTTTAGTTGCCCAAGACCTTCAAAAAATTAATTGCCCTTGCACAGGATCGTATAAATGCAAATCTGCCCAAATATCGAGGTTGGCCAACAGCTGCAATTGTATATCTGTCACTGTCTTCATATTTCTATTTTCTCAAGATGATCAAGATGTGACAAGAAAATCAACACAGAACAGAAAAGTATAACACACCTGAACTTCAACTGTCACACTCTCTGCACCCCAGTCAGCCCAGCTGAAGTGCCTGGCCACCAGAAGGAAATCCTGCAAGCAACGGCTCCAGAAATATCTTCAGGATCCAGTTCAATTGACGGGAAAACGAAAAAACAACTCAACGTTTGGCGATCGCTGGCAAACCCAACAGGCCACCCAAGTGCTTGTATACCCTCACGTCTCACACTGATGCCATTTGCTTGGGCCTTTCATTCCACCCAAGGATTGCAACGCCGCTGTTCAACAATACAAACCTCAACTTCCACGGACACGTTCTCCTCGCCCCAACTAGCCCACCTGAAGTGCCTGGTCACCAGAAGGAGGTCCAGGCTTCTCGGCGTTCTCCTTCGGCACCTGCAGGCAACAGCGCCAGATATCAATGGCTTGAGGATCCAATTCAATTGCTCATGTTGCAGCATGCTTGTATCCAAATCATCAGTCGAACAAGTATCATCTAGAGTCTAGAGTACGATTCTGTCTTCAAGATCTGTCAGGAAAGTAGAGTCCAGAGTCCAGGAAAAAACTAGAACGATCCAATGTCTTCAAAAAATTGGTGCTTTAGTTAGATGTTTTAGTTTTGTTTCCGAAACCTTGGGTCTGTCATCCGCAGCCAGCCCACCCGAAAACACCTTGGTGAGAATGCAATTCAGTCTTCAGTTGTCGCATGAATTATCCCGGCAAGAGACCCCAAACAGTGTGTGTGAGGTCCAGAGGTGTAGCAGCAGAAAGCAGAGATCTAGACGCATTGGGGTCCAGGGAGGTGATGGTGGCGGTGAAGGTGGAGATCGTGGCGATTGTGGCCGGTGGTTGTGAGTGAGTGAGTGAGTGTGTGAGTCACAGGGATCCAGTCGGATTGTGCTAATTTTTTCGTTTTTCAGCAGGGGGACTGTCTCCCCCACAGAAGTGACAGTCCAACGAAGAGGC